AAGAACCATCTTTTTAAGTGTGTATCTAAAGTGCATCTCTAGTAACTACATTACTGTTACTTTCCCCAACACTCACTGCAGGAGGAGCTCCTCTGTGGTTCCTGTCTGGTTCTGCTGTTGGTTGTTAGATTGCTGATGGGAGTGTTGGGGGGAGTAGTATGTGGAGGGAAAGGGTCATTACCATTCAGCACACACGCACATACACACACACACTGCTGCAGTGTAGATGCTCTGCAGGACGGTGTGTGTGTTAAAGCCCCCCGCCGGTCTGTTTGTGTATTCTTCAGCGTTTCTCCATCAGATGAGGCAACAGTCTGCAAACCATCACCACATCTTTATTCTGTCCATCATCCAGGTCTCTCTCCATCTGTCCTTCTGTTCTACACCTGTAATAGTAATAACAATAATGATAATAACAACTTTTTATAGAACAATTTTCATACATGTAGCAGCTCAAAGAGCTTCAACATAAAGCAAACAAACACTTTCTAAATCGTTTATCCTTCTGGGTCGTGGGGGGAGCTGGAACCTACTCCAGCATTCACTGGACACCCTGGACAGGTCGCCAGTCCATCACAGGGCAGAAACACAGACATACACACTCACACACCCCCCTGGGTGCAATTTAGCATCTCCATTTGGCCTGAATGCATGTCTTTGGGAGGAAACCCACACACATGGGGAGAATATGCAAACTTCACACAGAAAGGAACCCAGTCAGGGAATCAAACCCAGACCCATCTTGCTGTGAGGCAACAGCGCTACCCATGGCACCACCATGCCACCACTACAAAGCAAAACAGGAAATAAAGATATATACATACATACGTCATCTAAACCGCTTATCCTTCTGGGTCACGGTGGGGTGCTAGAGCCTATCCCAACTGTCATTGGGCGGAAGGCAGGATACACCCTACACAGGTCACCAGTCCATCACAGGGCAGACAGACAGACATACACAGTCACACTCACACCTAGGGGCAATTCAGCTGGTCCAATCAGCCTGACTGCATGTTTTTGGACTGTGGGAGGAAACCGGAGTACCCGGAGGAAACCCACACAGACACAGGGAGAACAGGCAAACTCCACACAGAAATGACCCTGGTTGCCCGGCCGGGAATCAAACCCAGACCCATCTGTGAGGCAACAGCGCTACCCACGGCCCCACCATGCCACCACTACAAAGCAAAACAGGAAATAAAGATGTACATTTAAAAACATCAAACTAAAAATGAAAAAACCTGTTTCCTGTTACTTGAGTTGTTTGGTGCGGTAACGGCTGTTCTAGATTCACATCTCTTCTCCTTCCTTTCATCCATCTCTCCTGCTGCCTCCGTCCTCTCTGTATCTTCTGTGAGTTATTTGTTGACACTTTGCTGTTATTTATCTCTCTCTCTGTCCTATGTCTCTCCTTTATTCCATCTCCCACACAGCTTTAACGATTTTACACGCACAGATATCAGACACTGAGATTTAAAGAAAATCCAACACTCAAAAGGAGAAACCACTGAGAGGAACAAAGATTCAAAATATAAAAGTCTATAAGAGCATGAGGAAGAATCACTGAAAGAAGTGAGGACTAAAAAAGGAGAACCTCACTCAGATCAGGAGGAAGAAACACTGAGAAGAACTAAAACTCAAGTAAGAGGAGAATCATAACTCAAAAGGATAAACTCCCTATGAACACGAGGAAGAACCACTGAGAAGAGCGAATACAAATAAGGAGAAGCTCCCTAAGATGAAAGAACCAAGACCCGAAAGATTAAAGTTTATAAAAGCATGAAAAAGGACCAATGAGAGGAACCAAGACTCAAAAGGAAAAAAATCAATAAGAACATTGGGAAGAACCATTAACTGAGCCTCAAAAGATAAACTTCCTAACAGCTTAAGAAGAACCAAGGCCCAAAAGGAGAACCTCCCTAAGACCATGAGGAAGAACCACTGAGAGAAACCATGACTCAAAGGGGAACCCATTCTCCTCTGGGCTGAAAATTGTTTATTAAACAATTGAGGAGTTGTATTTGCAGCCGATAAAGTTGTGTAATTGGTTCTGGATTATTTGTGTTATTGGTTCTGGAGAATATTTGGGTTAATATTTGGGTCTGATTCTCACCTTACTGAAGAAGGTGGATTGTAGTCAGCAATAAAGCTGAAACTTCTCTCTCAAAATCATAAAAATCTTATACGTGCAGCATGATTAACCAAAAACCGCTGCATAGTGTAATCAATAAATCTATAGCGCGTGTGCGAGGGCTGTGTGTCAGTGCCCAAAACTTCTCCAAATAAGCCACAAAGTAAATACAATCATGAGCTACACAGTGCTGTGCGAGCACTTTTCTTTAACACAAAGAGTCGCATTGTGATGATGTAAGCGTGGTCAGGCCAGAACGTTAAACACCATGTGAGCGCAGGCCAGAATGTGGGCGGGGGTGGGAGGGTAATCATGCTTGGGCATGGTACAAGGCAACCGGGAGCAGTATGAGTCCACCCTAATACCCCGTCTTCGGTCTGTAGATCTTTGAGCGTTCCTGATAACCTGCCACTTTACAGCAGTGCCGCTGTGCAGGGCAGATGTTCTGCACTTTGTTGTGAGTAAAGTGCAGCCACAGTAAGTCAGGGTTCCTCTGTGCTTTGGGGATTTTGTGGTATTGCTGTGATCTGTCACTGTGAGACTGCAGACATTCGTCTCTAACTCCGAGTTCAATTCCCACAACATTCGCTCTACACTAAATAACAGAACCCTCTCTTCAGGGCTTTGTTATTAAATCCCCTGTCATATCTTTCCTCTCTCTCTTTCTCTCTCTCTCTCTCTCTTTCTTCTCACAGTTAAAGTTAGACGAGAAGCTGATCTCCAATCTGATTGAATTGATTTTGATTAGAGATTTAGACTAAGGTGTTTATATGCTCACTCTACTCAACAATCTGATTAAAATCTCCATTTACGTACACACTACAAGTAATCAGACCCAAAATCACATGCGTGCATAGAGAACTACTTAGGCTGTGTTCAGACTGCCAGCCCAAATCCGACAATCCCACATCTGCATATCCAGATTGATGTTTGATAGTCTGAACGGCAAAAAACACATGAAACCTGATTTCTGCAAAAAATCTGATCCAAACCACATTTGGAGGTGGTTTGAAACGCGACTCCAATCAATTTTTTTACAGATGTGCCTCAGTCTGGATGCTCTGGATGCTCAAATCTGATTTCAAAGTGTCTTTTTTGTCACTCGCAATGGGACAAACAACGATGATGTCAAATCCAGAGTGAGGGAAGTGCTGGGATTCAAGAAGAGCTGCAGAGATTCATGATTATCAAGAAAGAGTTTGAAGGGAGAGATGATGCACCTCCATCTCTCCTGCATCTGTGTTTGAAATCCAGCATAGCTACATAGTTACTGACACCTACGCTGTTACCATGGCAATCCATGCAGATAGACTGGTGATATCTGGACATACAATTCTGATCTGATCACTTACAGATAGCAGAGCAGACAGTCGACTGAAAAGATCTGATTTGAGAAGCAAACACAATTCACCTGCAGTCTGAACACAGCCCTGGTGTAGATGTTACCATGACAACATCCACCAGTTTTTATCCATGTTAGCAAGAGGTTGACCTCCCATTAATTTGTCCATAATTTCATAAAACAGAAAAGCAGACGGATCAGAGCTGCTGGCTTTTAGCTTTGTAATATGCTGATTTCAGAAACGTTCGTCTGTGTTTACTTTGTTCTTAGTTCGTGTTGTTCATTTGCTCATATTCTCGTCTGAACAGCTTGTCATTGTGAGCTTTTATGAGCTTTTCAGTTTGAAGTATAAACTTCATCTCCACTGCAGACCAGTTTTGCTCCCACATCTGAACATCACAACCAGATTGTTGAAGATCTCCTTCCAGTCCCAAGAGAACTTAGTGAGGTCAGATACTGATTTTAGGCTAGAAGGTCTGACTCACAGCCAGCGTTCCACTTCTTCACAAAGATGTTAGACAGGGTTGAGGTCAGGACACCAAACTCACCAGACTTCTAAATCTATTTGTGCATGAGGGGTCGTTTTCTTCCTGGAACACAAAAAGGTCTCCAAACTGTTCCACAAAGCTGGAAGCTAGAAGTTGGCTAGATTGATTGACAATGATTGTATCAATTATTTACACTAAAGGTGACCCTCATTTCCAAAACACCAAATGTATAGCGTAAAGGGACTGAAAAAGAAATGAACAGAACTACGTGAACAAATTAACAGTAAAATCAAATCAAATCAAACAAGATAAATAGGGGAAACATTTAAGAGAATAATCAGGATTTAATTGATTGTATGCAGTAGCATTAAGATTTCCCTTCACTGGAATCATGAAAAACAGCCCCAGTCTAATATTCCACCTCCACCACACAGAAAAAGGTCTTCTCCAAACTGTTCCACAAAGCTGAAAGCACACAGTCCTCTGGAATGTGTTTGTTTGCAGTTGCATTAAGATTTCCCTGCACTGGAACCATGAAAAACTCCCAGCCCATTATTCCACCTCCACCAAACTTTGCATTTGCATTCAGACAGGTAGTGTTCTTTGCAGCTGAGCTGTTGTTGTTTGTAGATGTTTCCACTTCACAATACCAACACAGCTCTAGCAGAGCAGAAATTTGATGAACTGTCTTGTCCGAAAGGTGGCATCCTCTGACAATGCAATGTCAAAAATCACTGAGCTCTACAGTGAATAGTTAAGCTTCCCTTATTTGGTAGCTTAAATAGCCTCCAGTACTAAAACTAAAAAAAAGAAAACATCAAACATGTCTTGGCTGATCGGTTATATTCAAGGTAAGGTGAGGAGGGCTGGGGAAATTAGATTTTTCACTTAACTGTTGCTGTCCTTTTTGTCCTTCTTTAGGTTGTCATGGTCTATGTGAAGGTGTGGTTATCTAAAAAAGATAAATTCATTTGGATGAAGGATCCTTAGAACATTATGTAATACACAGTCTTGTCTACATATTGTTTTCTTTCTGTAGGTGAGCAGTAAAGACCTTTCCAGACTATCTCAGGAACATGGTCTGGAGGCTCTTCGCTGTGGGCGGGGCCTGGGGCGGGGCCCCAGGAGGAAAGGGGGCGTGGTGGTGGGCGGTGGTGTATCGCTACTGGCCGACTGTGTGGACAGTGGAACACAGACGGACATCAGCTTCCAAAACATGGTTACAGTGGGCAGGAGTTACCGAACCTGCGGACCCCCGCCATCCCCATCTCCACCTCTACCACCAATCCCAGAGCCGTACCTGCTCAACCAGATGTGAGTGTGTGCTATAGTGACACTGGGCTACACACCTGTATGTCTACATTTCTGTGTACACCAGCAACACCAATGTGTCTGATACACTCACTTAAACTGAGCACCAACAGTCTGTACTGTTACAATGGAACAATAAGGTGGGTGTTTCTAATAAAGCGGCCAGTTAGTGGAAGCACAAGGTAGCTGTTTCTAATAAAGTGGTCAGTTAGTGGAAGCAAAAGGTGGGTGCTTACAATAAAGTGGCCAGTTAGTGGAGGCACAAGGTGTGTGTTTCTAATAAAGTGGCCAGTTAGTGGAAGCACAAGGTAGGTGTTTATAATAAAGTAGCCAATTAGTGGAAGCACAAGGTAGCTGTTTCTAATAAAGTGGTCAGTTAGTGGAAGCAAAAGGTGGGTGCTTACAATAAAGTGGCCAGTTAGTGGAAGCACAATGTAGCTGTTCCCTATAAAGTGGCCAGTTAGTGGAGGCGCAAGGTGTGTGTTTTTAATAAAGTGGCCAGTTAGTAGAAGCCCAAGGTAAGTGTTTCTAATAAAGTGGTCAGTTAGCGGAAGCACACGGTAGGTGTTTCTAATAAAGTGACCACGTAGTGGAAACACAAGGTACATGTTTCTAATAAAGTGGCCAGTTATTAGAAGCACAGCATGGTTCTTCCTAATAAAGTGGCCACTGAGTGTACTGTGTGTAGTTATCTTGTTTCACTCTTCTCTGCAGGTCTCCTTTAGATCATGTGTACTACGACCCCACCGACTACTTTGACATCAGTCAACATGAGGTGGACAGACAGGATGATCTGGAGTACGAGGTAGAACACACTGTCTACATTTCTGCTATTACTGCTGCCACACACACACCTTAGAACAGTACCAGTGGACCACATTCTGTCCATAAAGTATTTTAATCTCCTGGCCCCATCCACAAATGCATTTATTTTATAGCATTTAGAGCAGTCAGTGTTGCTGTGGCAAAGTAGCTCGCCTTACTGAGGTAGTTTGAGGCAACAGTGCATTCTTTTTGTTGTTGCCAAAATGTTTATGATCATTCCCTGTTCCACAACATCTCGCACTGACTTCCTATTTCTCTGAGTCTGTGTAGTTTCTCTTGTAAACAAATATTATTCAGATCCACATTGGTGTTCTATTTCCTCCCTCTGCAGGAAGTGGAGCTGTATAAGTCTCGGCAGCAGGAGAAACTGGGACTGACTGTGTGTTACCGCACTGACGATGAAGAAGACCTGGGCATCTACGTAGGGGAGGTGAGGAGATCTAAAAGCGTATGTTTTCTGAGACAAACATAAACAGTGATGTCATGTATGAATTTATTTCCAAAACAAACCTATCAAATGTAATAAATGACTATTAATAAGTATTGAGCCGCCAGCAAGATATGATCATGTGTATGTTCCTCAGTCCTGTTGTAAAGGCTCCTCATGAAGATGCCTCAGATAACAGCCAAAGTTTGTCTAACACCTTTTTTGGTTACTGCATAACTACACATTTTATTTCATAGTGTCGATGTCTGAGATCAGAGCAGAGTCCTCAGCTACAAGCTTCCATTCCAGCCCCAAAAACACCTGAGGCTGGTCACTTTGGTAAAGCTGTGTTGGGAGCTGGAATAGGCTAGAAAATCACTGACTGGTGGATCCTCAAACACTGGACTGAGAACGTTACCTGGAGGAAGGGAATGTGTTCCACCATGGTCCGTATCTACCATCCTGTCCTACAATAGATCAGTTTCTCCCTCAGTCCTTTATGGTTTCTCCCGCACTCACTGGTGGATCTCTTGGATCTTTCCTCTTTTTGACCCCATTTCCTCTGTTCAGTCTTCGCTGTAAACTTGTACTTGTATCCTAACTGGAGGATGGGTTTGCCTTTTGAGTCTTTTTCCTCTTACTGAAGAACTCCTCATCCTCTCAGAGAGGCTGTCCTTTTGAAATTTTGTTTCTCTCAGTGGTTGTTCCTCATGCTCTTAGGGAGGTTCTCCTTTTGGGTCTTGGTTCCTCTCAGTGGTTCTTCCTCATGCTCTTAGGGAGGTTCTCCTTTTGGGTCTTGGTTCCTCTCAGTGGTTCTTCCTCATGCTTTTAGGAAGGTTCTCCTTTAGGGTCTTGGTTCCTCTCAGTGGTTCTTCCTCATGCTCTTAGGGAGGTTCTCCTTTTGAGTCTTGTGGTGGTCTTGAGGCTTGTGTGGTTCTTCCTCATGTTCATTGGGAGTCTCTCTTTTTGGGTCTTGGTTCCTCTCAGTGGTCCTTCCTCATGCTCTATGTGATTTTTTCATTTTAAGTCCTGGTTCCTCTCAGTAGTTGTTCCTCATGCTTTCAGGGAGGTTCTTCTTTTGAAATTTAGTTCTTCTCAGTGGCTCTTCCTCATTCTCTTAGGGAAGTTCTCCTTTTGGGGCTTGGTTCCTCTCAGTGGTTCTTCTGTGTGCTCTTAGGGAGTTTCTCCTTTTGGGTCTTGGTTCCTCTCAGTGGTTCTTCCTCATACTCTTAGGGAGGTTCTTCTTTTGAGTCTTGTGGTTCTTCATGTTCTTAGGGAGTTTCTTCTTTTGGGTCTTGGTTCTTCTCAGTGGCTCCTCCTCATGCTCTGAGGGATGTTCTCCTTTTGTGTTTTAGTTCCTCTCGGTCGTTCTTCCTCATGGATATAAAGAGTTTGTTCTTTAGGTTCTTGGTTTTATCATATTTTTGAGGTAATTATTGTATTGGGAAATTATTACAATATTGGGTTCCACAGTCCTTTTGAGGCTTGGTTCCTCTCAGTGCTTCTTTTCGTGCTCTTGAGTTTTGGTTCCTCTCAGTGGATTCTTGCTTTGAGACAATGGCTGTTGGTGAAAGATCTGCCCAAATCAAACTAAGCTTACTGAAAGATTTGAGCATAACGAATGGAGAGATAATGCTGTACTTTATATACTTCAGGAAACTTTTTCCTAAACGCCTACTTTTCTTTGCCAGGTCAACCCAAACAGCATCGCTGCTAAAGATGGTCGTATCAGAGAAGGGGACAGGATACTGCAGGTATGGATCAGTAGATGCTCATATTAACCTTCACCTCGTGGAGCATTAGTTAATTCTCTCCAGCAGAACAGTCAGAGGCAGTTAGAGAGGTCAAGTGGTGTTAATGTGGATCTCTGTGTCCAGATCAATGGAGTGGACGTGCAGAACCGGGAGGAGGCCGTGGCTATTCTGACCAGAGAGGACAGCACCAACATCTCCCTGCTACTGGCCAGGCCTGAGATTGAGGTGAGAGAGGCTCTCAAGACTGTTACACACTGAATGTGATGCAAATAAACATGAATATAATAAATATTCAGAAGTGATTTTTCTGTACCAAAACTGGACAAATGCATCAGTCAGATTTTATTTTGATGACCCCTGTAGATCTACAGATACTACAGTTACTAACAAACTTGTTGATTATCAACAACATGATGATAAGAGTTGGGTTAAGGAGTACACTCTTTAAAAAGATGGTTCTCCAAGGGTTCTTTAGTAAAGACAGTGGTTCTAAATAGAACCATGAACACTCAAAGAAGCATTTGCATGATTAAATGGTTCTCTGCCTGGTCAAATCATTCTTTAGATTGACAAAGATTGTGCTGTAAATTTTTCTACACTCCTGGGCAAAAAAGTCCAAAAAAGCACACCATTCAGCTTTTAATGGTCTTAACAACAAATAATTAGACAAACAAGCAAGACACACAAATCTGATCTGATCACATGCAGGTAACAGAGCAGACAGTCGCCTCAAAAGATCTGATTTGAGAAACAAACCAGATTTGTCTGCAGTCTGAGCACAGCCCTGGTCAACTTGGTAGTTGCTATGCCAACCACAGAGACAGCAGTGATTGGTCAAACGAGTTCTTATTGTCTGTGAATGTTTCCCGGAACTGAACACAGGACGACTAAAATGCACAAGATCTCATCAGTTATACACAAGTTCAGATTAATTAATTGATGTTCTGATAAATAAATAAAGGCCTTAATGGTGTCACCTCTGCAGGGGGCTCATGAGTCAGGGTGTGTCCTATCAGTGTAAAGGGGTGGAGTATAAGCTTCAAGTACTTAGTAGCCTCATAGCTCCAGCGTTAAAACTAAAGATGCAAATAGGGGGCAGGGGTGAGTAGTAGGGGTAAGTGGTGGGGGGTGAGGTTTTGGGGGGGACTGTGGAGATTAGATCTGTACCTGTGTTGGAGAAGTACAGCTCTGCTCTTCTCATTCGCTGCAGCCGTGAGGACGAGTCTGGATACAAACAGCTCGAATGTGAATACATGAAGGTTAAACAGGGAGAGAAAGAGCAGAACTTGATCGCCCTGCAGCAACAACACACTCAGTAAACAGACAGTAAACCAACCTGTTACAAACAACAAGAGACAGTAAAGGTGAGAGGAGGACAGAGAGAGAGAGAAAAAGAGAGAAAGAGAGAGAGAGAGAGAAAGATAGAGAGAGAGAGAGAGAGAGAGAGAGGGAGAGAGAGAGAGAGAGAGATTGCGTTAAACAAATGAAAGGAGACAGTGAAGGTGAGAGGAGGACAGAGAGAGAATGAGAGAGATGTAAAACAGGACGGTGGAGGAGATGGAGCAATGTGTGTGAGTCTGCACTCTGTGACGGTTTTCCTTTGTTCTATTCAAGGTCACAAACACATGCATACACACACACAGACACACGCACACACACGCGCACACACATACACACATATATATACACACACACATACACATTCTCCTCTGTGAACTCACACACACACGCACGCACAACACAATAAATAACAATAGAGAGAGTGAGAGAGAGAGAGAGAGAGAGAGAGACTCTGTGTCCCTGTTTGACCAGTGTGTGTCCAGTTTAATCAGAATCACGCTTTAGCTCAGATTCATCACGTTTAACTCCCAACACGACCGCAGCACCCAGTCCTCATCTCAGCACTGACAGATTAGCATAAACACTCTCTAACCCCTCAACACCCCCCCCACCTCATGAATACAAATAGAGCAAAACTGAACGTGATGTCCCCCCCCCCCGAGTAATCAATCAGTCCATAACGCAGTAATGAGCTCAAACTGGAGGCCGAGGTCACTAAAGCAGAGCTGTGGATTCAGGACAAACATAGATCTGACGCTGAAAATGCAGGATCCTAACAGACATGAACAGCAGTCCTCTCACGAAAGGACGCCACAGCGTGGTTTTTGGTAAATTAATAAAAAATTAAGTATTTCAGTAGTAGTGAATTATCATGAAGGCAAATGTCAAAATGAAAGCAATGCCAAATCCCAGACATTTTAGGTGATTTACATTTAGACTTATTTTTTACCTCCCAAAAAGAGGCATATGTTCACCCTGTTCTTCAGGAACATAAAGGAACGTAAAGGAACATCTGTGATTGCTGTGAATATTAGTGTGTTAAACTAATGCTGCTGTGTGAAGGCTGTACTTTAGCCTGGTCAGCTCTCAGGACATCTACACCAGCAGAGTGATGAAGCGCGCTGACTAAACTATAGCTGACCCCTCTCATCCTGAACATCACCTCTTCCAGACACTCCCCTCTGGTAGAAGATTCAGGGCCATTAAAACTAGCACAACCAGATATGCTAACAGCTTTTCCCCCAGAGCTGTAGCTCATTAACCACAGTGAACACCTCAGACTTTAAACTCAAACTGACCATCAAATCTCCTCACTGTATTACAGTAACAAAATAATGTCAAAAACTGAAGAATGTCAAAAATGGAGATACAAGGTTGACAGCAGTAATATGTATTTAAATGTATAGTGGTGTTTGTTTGGCTGTGTTTAAGACAGTGACTTGGTTACCTGGACTGTGTTTATGACTATGGAGGATGTATGTAGGTTTAGGGGTTAGTAGTGTGTATGTGTGTGTGTGTGTGTGTGTGTGTGGTGGAAGCTCCAGATGGTGTGTGTGTCCACGGGCAAGTGTATTCCCTGCACAGGTGGCTCAGTAAAGCATCTCTCGCTGTTTAAACGTCCACTACAGCAGATGGGAAGAGACACCCCATGGTTATTTACAGTACGAATATTGAGGGAGTTCAGCCAAACACTGCCCTCTGCTGTTCAAAAAGAGATTACATCACTGTGAAAGTGTAAAATTTATGTCTGCTCTCCATTCCCATCTCAAAAGATATTAACCCAACCCAGTCTAATTATGAAAAAATGGGCCGAGCCCAAAATGGCAAAACATTCATCTTTTAGTGGTCTTAACAATAAATCCATAATCAAACAGCTGCAATAAGTCAGTGTGGAGAGTTTTTCACTCTGATTTCTTTAAATATTGAGGTTTTGTGTGTAAATGTGCAGACAGTCTTTTACAGAATGAAGAGACAGTATTGATCCTCTCAGCATTGGCGGCTTCAAACAGCTGAAAAACATTGCTGACCTAGTTTGTGATTAATGTGAGACCAAATATTCTATACAGGGTTTAAATCTAGATTTTTTTTGCCCAGGAGTGTAGATTGCATAAATTGCATTGCATTCTGACTTGTTTCTGTTTCTTTCAATGACAAACAAAAACATAAAAATTTGAAGATTTATTTCACAAAACAAGATTGTACACACAACAATAAATTTTCATCAAATTTAAATCATTATAAAATATCTCTTCTTCTACTTACAGACACTGATGTGGTCTGGACTGAAAGTTTTGAACATTCCACACAATTTCTTCATTCAATAATTCTTTATTTGGATAGCCCACTAAAGATGCTTTTCAAGTATGTAAGTTATATTTAACTAAATATCTATTCAGTTCACCTTAATTTTCCCAAACCGTAACCCTGGCAGTAGTCCTAACTCTACCTTTACCTTCAACCAAAAACCTTATCCTAACTCTCACCCTGGTAATAATACTAACCCCAACACTGTTCAGAAACAAGTTCCAACACAAAGTATAATAATAATTTGAACATCTCTAGACAATCTAGCGGGGGCTATACAAATAAAGTGGGGCCAATAGTTAGTATAAAATTTCGGCTTGATTTTAGCATCTGTGATACCTGCAATTTTTAAATGTTAAATTGTGATGACTCGTCTAAAACTGGGCCTCCAATACCAAGTTTGTTCTTAAATGTGTTCTTGAGAAAGGTCCTTAAAAAGTCTACATCAGATTCATAACGTGTTCTTAAAGTGCAGAACTGTTCTCACTTTTGTGCTCTTGAGTGTGTGTTGATTCTGTTCTTACCTAAGAACAAATCCCTATTAAGAAAACATTAGTGAATGACAGTCTTAGTCAAAACTGCGTAAATGTGTTTTAAAAAGAACTTTCTTCTTAAGAACGGTTCGTAAATGAGGCCCATAGATTTACTGCCTAGAAACAGCACAAGTGAAAATCAGCCTCTTCTAACTTCTCTCTTTTGCATCCATCTCATCTGCCCTCATCCCCCATCTTCCAATGCATTTCTTCACTAAAGAATGAGGCAGATGATTTGGAGCTGGAGCTGGGGGTCGGCCTGGGGCTGGAGGTCCTGGATAATGGATCTCACCTGGTCAGTCCTCATCACCGCAGGAGAGCCAGTTCTGTCCTCAGCGACTCAGTAAGTGGCCATCGTGTTGGTCATCCCAACCTGTGGCACACGGCACTCAGCAACAGCCAGGAGCTGGACAGCGGGGTTGGGCGTACGGACGAGAGCACACGGAATGAGGAGTCTTCAGAACATGACCTGCTGGCTGATGATGCCACCAGCGCGTCCACCACCAATGCAACCAACACACCTGGCAGCATGCGGAGGTTCCATGGTAGCTCCCTAGCACCAATGCATGGAGGAGAACTCCGCTTTAGCACTGATTCCCTGCCGGGACCTGATGGTACAGGGGAGCGTGGGGCCTCAGAGACCGCAGCCTCAACGGCAAGCAGTGTGCTAATGCCTGGACTTACTGAGGAAGAGTGTGAACGGTACCGGGAGTTGCTAGAGATCCGGTGCCTCTACGAGAGGAATGGGAATCCCCTGTTCTTGCTGGCAGGACCGCAGGGGTGCTCTGCAGGAGAGGTTCCTTTAGATATGAACTGCAATGAGAGCCTACTTAGGCATGAGATTGCCTTGCTGGAGGAGGAACTGAGGCACCTTGAATTCAAGTGGCGCAACGTCTTGAGGGCCCAGAAGATGCAACAGCTGCGAGAACGCTGCCTGAGAGTCTGGCCAGCAGAGAAAGAGAACGAAGGGGAAGGAGGCGCAAAGGCAGCAGCATCTGTCCACCATGAACTGTCCGACATCAACGAAATTCCTGAGAGAGAACGCTCAGACAAGGAGAGCACCAGCGCCTACAACACAGGTGGGGAGAGTTGCAGGAGTACACCGCTTGTCAGCGAACGTTACCCTTCACCCTCAGCAGCTGGAGACTCCAGTGCCTCAGTGACCTTGCGGCCTCACACTTCTAGGCACAGGACAACAAGGGCAAAAGATGAGAACCTTAATCTGCCGTCCTCCCCTAGCTCTAGGCGAAAGTGTGAGGAAGCAGGCAATGGTAAGAATCTCAGCCCAGGTACAAGGGTTCGCTCTCTGTCTCGCAACGGAGGCAGCAATGGCAAGAAGGTTTCTGACAGTGTCAGAAAAGGCACCAAGGCAAATGGTGTGGCAACTGGTGGAGCAGCAGAAGGAGGAAAGAGTGCAGAAAACAGTCCATATCTCTCCCGTCGTCGCTGTGGCTCCAAGATACCACAGCGCTACCAAAGTTGCATGCAACTGAAGGATATGAATGCCACAGATGGTCCTGAGATTCAGGATGCTGCAGAAGACCCTGCCAGTGGTCCAAGCAACTTGGTTAGCACAAACAGAGACCTGGAGATCCCCTCAGCAACCCTAGCAAATCCCATGCCGCTTCCTCAGAGTTTGCTACCATCCCTTCCCCAGGGATCACCTCGGATGGAGTGGAAGGTGAAGATCCGAAGTGATGGATCACGCTACGTGGCCAAGCGACCTGTTAGAGACCGCCTGCTGAAAGCTCGAGCCATGAAGATCTGTGAGGAACGCAGTGGGATGACCACGGACGACGATGCAGTCAGTGAGATGAAGATGGGCCGCTACTGGAGCAAGGAGGAGCGCAAGCAGCAACTGCTGAGGGCCCGAGAGCACCGCAGACGCAGAGAGTTCATGCTGCAAAGCCGCCTGGACTTTCTGAGAGAGAGAGAGAAGGAGCAGGACTCTGGAGGCCAGGGACAGGCGTCCATCCTGGAGCTCAGCCAAAGGAAAAGCATGAAGAAGCGCAGCCGACGCATCTTGGATAACTGGATTACCATCCAGGAGCTTCTGGCCCACGGGACTCATTCAGCAGACGGCAAGAAAGTCTACAATCCCTTGCTTTCAGTAACCACAGTCTGAGTCAGGCAGTGGTAGTTAAATAGGTGGAGCTATACTGCCCATCAAAAGTCTGGTGTCAGCTAGCTTTTCAAAATGTTTTGATTACAAATGAGCATTTTTCTTTGTCAGTTTTGCAATAACTTAAAATAATAAACAGAAAGTGGTGAAGATCATGACATTTTTCTTTGCAAAAACTGGAAAGCTGGAGGAATAACTGGCCAAAGGTCCTAGATTAGCTTGGAATAAAATCAAAAGGCCATGCTTTTTGTCCCTTCAAACCTTTCAGGTGTTTAAACCACCTTTGGTCCAAAAAGAGCCGTGCTTTTAAGAATACCTTCAAAAAGAAAACTGTTAAATCATCATTTAGGCAAAACTTGCTCTTCATACCAGGAAACACACTCTGATGAACGTGAAGCTGATTTTACCTTTGCAGATAACAGTGAACTTAAAAAATTTACTAATAAAAATCCAAAACAAGCCAAGCTGTCCCCAAACTTTTCATGGGCAGTGCAGATTACCTTTAGGAGTGGGACATACTACTCTTTTTATTCCCAGGTAAGAAAGAAGAGGAACAGAAGAAATGTAGGATTTTACCTTTGATGAAAGGTGCAAGCCAAGGTGCTTTGAACCCCAACATGCTGCTGTTTTACAATGTTTATTTACAACGGGGTTTATTTAGAACAGAGAAACAGTGTGTACACTGTGAACATCCAAAAAAGCACAGCGGAGCCTACAAAAATATCTTGTGAATGTAACTGAATGTACATTTTTCATGACCTTGAACCTAAACTATTTCATATTTTGATACAATCGCTTTTCATGGCTGCAATTTCATAAACTCACATTTGACCATGGAAGATGAGGACATTCATGAGAACCTTATTAAAAGCTCTCCATGTGTACTTAGCATCCCAGTGTTTATAGCTGACAGTGCAACAGGAGCTCAGTAGAGGCAACAGCAGTTCTACACAATAAACTTTCCGTCCTCTTTATCAGAAACTCCACCTTTCTGGTGTTCAGTTACAGACTGTAGCTCATCTGCTGATGTTCAGTTTGTGTTGGTCTTCATCAATGGTCAGTTTCTGATCACAAACTGCTGAGGACGGTCCACCATGCAAATAATATCTGGTCAGCAGTGGCTCTGTGGTGAAAAACTTACCAATAATGAAAAGGGTGGGGGGTGATAAACGGTACAGTAACAGACCTACACCGATCAGGCATAACATTATGACCATCTCCTTGTTTCTATGGTCATTGTCTATTTTATCAGCTCCACTTACTATACATAGGTGCACTTTGTAGTTCTACAATTACAGACTGTAGTCTGTCTGTTTCTCTGCATACTTTGTTAGCCCCTTTTACCCTGTGTTGTGCTTGTCTGAGTGGATCAGACACAGCAGTGCTGCTGGAGTTTTTAAACACCTCAGTGTCACTGCTGGACTGAGAATAGTCCACCAACCAAAAATATCTAACCAACAGTGTTCTGTGGGCAGCGTCCTGTGACCACTGATGAAGGACTAGAGGATGACCAACACAAACTGTGCAGCAGCAGATGAGCTACCGTCTCTGACTTTACATCTACAAGGTGGACTGACAAGTAGGAAGTGTCTAATAGAGTGAGGGGACACAGTGTTTAAAAACTCCAGCAGCACTGCTGTGTTTGATCCACTCAGACAAGCGCAACACACACTAACACAGCACCACCACATCAGTGTTACTGCAGTGCTGAGAGTGATCCATCACCTAAATAGAACCTGCTCTGTGAGGGTCCATGGGGGTCCTGACCACTGAAGAACAGGGTAAAAAGGGGCTAATGTATGCAGAGAAACAGATGGACAACAGTCTGTAATTGTAGAACTACAAAGTGCACCTATAAAGTAAGTGGAGCTGATAAAATGGACAATGAGCATAGAAACAAGGAGGTGGTCATAATGTTATGCCTGATCGGTGTATAAGGCAGGTGTTTCGAAAAAAGTGGCCAGTTAGTGGAAGCACAAGGTAGGTGTTTATAAACAAGTGTCCAGTTAGTGAAAGCACATGGTGGGTGTTTCTAAAAAAGTGGTCAGTTAGTGGAAGCACAAGGTGTGTGTTTCTAATAAAGTGGCAATAAAAAGGTTGTACAGAGCACTTCTAACAGGAAACCCAAGAAAGTAGTGAGGATGTCAAAAACTCTTGAGCTTGACCAGGTTTGATTAGAAAACCACAAAACATCCATTAACAATGCAGATGAGAAATTTATAATCTTGTTAAAAGGTCAAAGCTAAAAATTAGACACTGAGCTTAGAGAAAAAAAAACTTTTTAGAAACATTTAAATATCAGAAACTTGAAGGGATTTTGCAATATGACACAAAAACTCCCACCAGGTGAGCTGGGAATGGGAAAACTCAGTGCCAAACACAGAAAAGCACAGATGCTGAGAAAGAGGATGAGAGTTTAAAGCACATAAAACAAAATTACAGCCACTAATGATGCCAAAACCTTTTTGAAAAATCTTTGAAAAACTGAACAAACATTTTGAATTTCAAAACTGAGTTATGAACAAAACGAAGAACTGACTAATTTTCTTCAAAGGCACAAAAATGGTCTGGAGTTTCTTTTCTTCCATTTTGTAAATGTTTGCATGTTTGTTGTGTGAAACTGTTCAAATATCTGGAGTGAAACTGTGAACGTGTTTCTACAATCATCATCACTAGATTAGACACTGATACTGAGTGTAAATCTGTGCATTTAACGGGTCTCATTGGTGTTTTTGAATAAACTTCTTTTCTCACATGTTCTTGTTTTCTGGATTCTGTTGTGAGCGGCAGACTCAATCAGAAACTCTACGTGAGAAACGTGAGGAACCTTCTGTAGAAGATCTAGAGGGCCTGTTTATTCAAACATGAGCTACAGTTTCTGAAAAAGAGAAAACCTTTTCCTTTGTAAATCATAAAGTAGTTGAACTAAAATGTAAAGCATCCCAAAGTAAAGATAAATGATGGTGAATGACTGCAGTGCAGAATATTTTTTTGACCTGATGGTGCATTTATAACCTGCAAATATCAGAGTTTCAGATTTTCAGCAGAGAAAAAGGTGGATTCTTTCACAGTGTTAGAAAGACAGTGGAGTGAAAATAATCCTTTAACTAAATTACAGCAGAAATGTGAAAGTCAAGTTAACAACTTTATAAAAATACACAGTCTCAGGCTAAAGTGGGAACATTTTCATGTTGTGGTGATAGGAACCAGACGTCCACCTTTAAAAGCTCCCTTCAGAAAGTTATTACGTGAAACAGTTATGAATACATTGCCTGATGTCTGAGACACTGTTTATGATAGTTTTGAGAAGATTTTGGTCTTAAAATCCAGTCATGGTGGAGGGAAACAGAATATGCAGGGTGCTGTGAGGCAAAATGGTTGCAAAAATTGCAAAAATATATTTGATAAATACATTTGGAATATATTTTTTCCAGTATATGTAAAGTCCAAAATCAGTTGAAGTCCCAGATGTGTTTGAGCTCTGACTTTGAACCAGTTCAGCAGAATCATCCATATGCAGGTTTTATTGGAAATTAAATAAATGATAATATCGCTAACTTGGCTGATTTTAGCATCAAAACGCTGTTAATGATTCTGAATGAAGAGGCGTTTGAGAGTCGAATCTTATTGACCTGAACAGAAGACGCAGCTCTACACTACCCTCTGGTGGAGCACAGAGTTCAGACACCTCATGGTTCTTTGAAATAAGAATGTAGAATCATAAAGAGGAGCTGATTTATCATTTGATCTTTATACTTTTATTTTTCAAAAATTCAGAAATTCTGACTCAGTCCTGAATGTTTGATATTTAAAGGTGGAGCAGGTGATTTATTTTATAAACATTTTTGAAATATTTATGAAATACTCTTTACATCCTGATAGAAATCAATAAATCAAATGTTCTGACAATAAAAAGAGCATAAACATCCCGCCCAGTCATTTCATTCAGACCGAATAGCCTATCTGTCTGTCTACCTGCTGACCTCTCCACCTGCACGCATGCACATGCTCTGAACGTGGATTCATTTCATCCTCTTGGAATTAAAACATTCTGTCTGACAATTTTGTGAAAATGGAGTTTTTCATGTGTTCTTTGCTGCTTATGTAGCGACATTCTGTATTAGCCCAGTGCTAATGTTAGCTAAGCTGTAGGTGTGAGCTAGCTAGCTGTGTTTCATCATGCGTGTTCATGTGTTTTGGGGGCCTGGCTTTGGAAGGAGGGCTAAAAGTGGGTGGGGGGTTGGAAGGTTTAAAAACTGGCTTACACTTGGAGGCTGGGCAAGATGGCGCCAGTCTAAGACAGTTTTTGGGAATGCTCTTGTGATAATTGGTGCAAAACTTGATTAAATTACCCCTATGATTTAATTCACTACACAAGTATTGAGAAAACATTTCTCTCACCCTCAAGATTGGATAAAAAAGAATTAGAAACCAATAACATCTTAGTTTTTCTCCCGTGTTTGATTCTGGTATGGAGCAGTGCGAGTTAGTCGCTGGCTATCTAGCAGAGAGTATTTTTCTTCTTTTCGGAACCTTGACCCTTTTTTAACAACTAGCCATCAAATGATGGATTCTGCTGCTGCTCTGGACTCGATAAAGTGGGTACATGATTATTTAAAGTCTCCTGCTGAAGAGAATCTTATGGAATTCTTCTCCACTATACCGGACACACCGATAAGTAGCCCAATGCACAAAATGTGCCACCATGTAGAAAAGCTTTCAAATGCTGTTCTGCTCAAGGCTATCGAGAGGCTCGGAAAAAAGCAGGATGACTTTATGGACAAGATCTTGGAAACTGAAAGGTCAGTTGCTAACCAACTTACTGAACTGTCTGAGAAGATGGAAGCTGTTTCCAAAATATCAGAGGAAGCGGCAAAAAAGTCTGAAAAGGTGGAGACACAGGTGGTGGCTTTGTAGGCAGAAAACAAATACTTATGGGAAAAGCTAGATGACCTAGAAGCATACAGGTGGTGGAACTTGAAGATTGCGGGTGTCCAGGAGAGAGAAAGAGAAAATGTGAAGATGGTTGTGAAAGAGATTTTCTCTCACATCTCATCTGGACTG